TTTTTTGTGACATTAATTGTACAGATCTTACCTTTTCCATTCCAATTTTCCTATTCCGTAAGCAGCCTTTCTTTCTTTCCCAGCTGTGACTGTAGACCACAACTGTGATACAGTTGCAGTGTTCTGTACTGAGGACTGAACTCTCTAAACTTGTGGCTACAGAGGTGTGGTCACATGTGTGCCTCAAGACTTGTAATTGTGTTGACTTTTTCTTGAACGGAAAGGAATTTGTCAGGCAGGAGCCTCTGTAAATGCAAATATTTTTTCAGGAGTTTTCAATTCTAATGTTAACTTAGAATTCTTATGAATAAAGCGGATTTTATTTCTGTGGCAGGTGTCTTGGTAACTGGACAGCTTTGGAGGAGAAAAGATGAAAAACATGGTTGGCTCATCAATCATGGACACATTAATGTCATCTCAGTGTCCCCATGTGAAAGAAAAAGTAACTTTCTGCCTTGACTTCCGGTTAGTGCCTGTTGTATACCATACCTCACCTGCCAAATTTTGGGAGGATCTAAGAAAATAATACTGTATGTCTGAAGTTAATTTCAAAAAAGAGTGGCAAATTTTGGTCATGTGCAAGACATGAGTTGTTTTGCTTTAAGCTCTCTCAGATAGAAGCTCTGTCCAGCTAAACTAGGAGCCCACAGCCCCTTTCTGGAGTCTGATGTGTCACTAAGTGCAGACCATGCAGAGAGGGAAATCTGTAGCCAGGAATGCCTGTTGCTGCAGAGCACAAACCTGTCTGTACCTGGAGCCTAATGCACTGTCAGCTGCTGAGAACATAGTGCCTATAGCTTCTTGGCAGTCAGGCTAAATGATCCTCGTAGGACCCTTCCAATTGAATTATTCTGATGAGAGGTGTGCCATGGTTCCCCAGCTGTCTAAGAGGAAAGACCCCAGTATGTCCTTCCTATGGCTGCTGGTCAAGGTAGGCGGGTCAGACCACATTTTGTTCAGAATACAGATGGGGAAAACATCAATGCCAAGGTATAGGTTGTTCTATCAAAGGATTAATAGTACTTTGTTATTGTTATGAAGGCATGCCTGGCAGCTAAATTAACTAGATCCTTGTGGAGTAATCAGTGGAGAATATGAGATATAGCAGTCAGATTATGAGAGTGTTTTTTAAACTTCCAGTGATCTTGAGTCAGGAAATTCTTGGATTGCAAAGCTGAATCATCATGTTAAGAGCTGCATGTGGCATTTTCTTCCAGAAAACTGGTTATTCCACTTGAATGTGCAAAATATTTGATATTTTACATACATTGAAGCAAAGATACCTGACCTCTTTTTTATATGTCAATATTTTCTTGTGCTTATTTTAAATCAGCCACTCTTGTTTGAAGTCCCCTAGTTATTATATGAGGAGAAACTGTGATTTGCTCTTCACTTTCACTACTCCACATGATACTCTCTAGACCCCTGTCCCTTTCTATACCTTTGTCAGGCTGTACAGACCTGTCTACTAGGTCATCCCATACATAGAAGCTGCTTTGTTCCTTTAATCAGCTGTTCTGCTTTCTTTTACTGTTCTTCTGTATAAGCTTTGAGATGGGCAAATGGACCAGAATTTAATGCAATATTCAGGATGCAGGTATAATGTGGATTAATATTGTGCTATAACTTTGTTTCCTTTTGCTTTTCTGTTCTCTTTGCAATTAGTTTCTAGCATTCTTTTTATTTTTTAATATTTTTTTAAACTGCTCCTGAGATGATATTCTCATAGGAGACTGCCTCAGTCTTATTTCTGTAAAGAATAATAGCTCAACTCCTGACACCTAGGGAGTAGGGTTAGGACTGGCCTTTTTTAAAGTGTGGCACTTTATCTTTTTAGTTCCAAAGTTCATCTGTTGTTTTATTACATAGTATCTCAATATTATTGTCAGTTTCTGCAGCTGTACTGTGATAACTAGACAGTTTTTGTATGATTATCGTGTCAGTATTTTTTTACAGACCATTTATGAATATAGCAGAGATTCCTATGAGATAGTGAGCTGGCTTAAGATAAAGCATTATCATTTGTTTATTTTATTAACTTGTTGCAAGCGGGTTTGTTGTTTTTTAGATACCATTATGCTTAGCTTTAGTCTTCCTCAAGGCTTTTTTTTTTTTTTTTTTTT